AAAAAAAAAAACACATATTGCGTAGATTTTTTTGCTCTACAAAATATCATATTTTGGTGACGGCGATTTTTTGGTCTAGAGAGTTTCGAGTCAAAAAAGAATGTGAAACTGAAAAAGACCTGCTGTTTCCAAAGTAATCCCATGTATTTTACATGACGATACCATCGTGAGTTGCTTTTGGAAGCCGCAGGCACCTGGCATAAAAGTCTGGTATAATTCAGACGTCGGAAATTTATTACAAAAGTTGTGTTTTTACTTCAAAATATTAACAAATTATTATTTTGCATGTAAGAATTGGCCTTCATTCCAGCGTCCTCTGCTTCTTGTATTTTATTTCGTTAAAATTACACACTATTGTACATTTTGAAGTCACAAAGAAGTCTAAAAACCTGCTGCTTCACCTGGTTAACTGCTGGATTAAGGCTTACCTTAGACTTTCTTTGTTTCTCGAGAAACACAGCACAATTTCTAAGAAAGAACAGCAAGTTGAGCTTGTGCGGCCAAAACTTTAACAAGTTCACTATAGACATATTTCTGAAAGTCTAGAAACTAAGAAATACGAGAAGCAAAAAACACTAGAGTGGGAACTACTTCTTACAACTCTGCAGAATAATAATTTGTCAATATTTTGAAGCAAAATACAACCTTTGTAACAAATTTCCAATTTTGAAAGCATATCGGTCATGGGATTACTGTAAAAACAACAGAACAGCAGGTTCTTTTCAGTTTCAAATTCCTGTCGGGCTCGTAACTCCCGATACCGAAAAATCGTCATCTAAAAGTTTGCAGAGGAAGGTACTTCAAGCAGCAATCTGGCAAGTTTTGCAACTTTCCAGAGGTGTAACTCGGCGGCGAATTCACTTTTTCAGGTTTTTTTCGACTTCCTCTCTATTGACCTAAACTCTATTGATCAGCTAAATTTAAAAAAATCTAAAATATTAAGAGAAAAAGGTGTGCGATTTGGCATGGAATGGCCTATATATCGTACATACAGCTTAAAGCAGTGTGTTGCTGCATTTTGAAGAGCATATTTATCTGCGATGTATATAAGGAAAGCGCAGAATTGTGTCGCTAAGAAATGCGTCGTGTTGGTCAGTTATTCGGTCAGACGCAGCCGATTAGTACAAGGTGTTTCTCAGCGATTTTCAAAAGACAGCGAAGGAAACATAAAAGGTATAAGAAGTCGAAAACATAATCTAACATGTAAAGGACTATTTTTTCGCTTAGTTCTACTTTTCATTCACTACATTTTTACTTTCTTTAGCGCTAATAATTCGAGGAAAGGATATTACTGCTGCCAAGATGCTGGAAATAGCTAATCATGAAAATAGTGGCTGTGAGATGAAAGAGATTGTAGATTTTATGGCAGTATCTATTTATGCTGCTGCTAGCGCTTAAACGTAACTTGAACCTTTAGAGAAATTGCTTGGAAGTCTTAACGGCTAGAGAAGACAGAATAATGCATTGCCTGCTACAAGTAAGTCTTGTGCAGAGCGCTAGAGAAAAGAGAAGAATTGAGGATGCGTCTTAAAGATATTTCGGGTTTAGCGTGGAGACCTAGAGTGGCTTTCTGCTAAGTTTGAACTGCATGAGAGTAGAATCCGCAAAGGATCGCCGGTTTTAAGAAAGGCTTAGCTGGTGCGACTGAGGTTTTCAATGAGTGCCTAGACTACAGCAAAGTGCATCAAACGAAAGTGATGATATTTCTCATCTAAAGGTAAATTCAAAAGCAATATTTTCTTTTGTAACGGAATAGCTTTCGATTTAATAGTTCGACTTAATGACACATTAAAAGCACTAATATTTTGTTTTAGACGTTTAAATAAAGGTGTCCAGATATTTCGGGCAACACTTTTACCGTCACCTGTACAGAAGGATTTTATTCAGAGAAAGGTTTAGAAGTTCTCCTTCGTATCCTGAGCAGTTTACCCTTCAGTTTGCTCGTGCAGTTCCGTCCTTGAACTTCCTATCTATTATTTTCCCTCAAATAAAGGTAAATAAACCTTGAACACTATTGGATAAACAAACATAACTGCGCTATCTGTTTATTCCCGCATAGCCAGTTTTACAAGTCTTTCCGTTCAGCTCTCATGCAAAAACATTTTGCTGGCAATATTCCACTACAATGAAGTGATCGAGTGGATTTTCTGTCGTCTTCATGACTAGTGCTTTGACAATTTGAGAACTATTTCGGAATTTTCAGAATCAACGTTTTTGGAAGTCTCTGCTGCAGACAGGGGCAGCAGATTTCTAGTGTTTCATCGGGTTACGCTGATGAGTAATCTCCTCACCCACTTTATTTCTTAAAAACCTATTGAGAACTGGAATTGCAGAACAGGTTGAAGGAGACTTCCATCATCTTTGATAGTCATGATATGTGTTTCCTATATAGATATAGGGTTTCAAATTCTAGCGGCATTTTTTTGAGGGTGAGGAGATATCGGAGCTGTTCTGCTTTCGTGAGCTTTGTGTGGAAATAGTAACTTATTCTTCTACTTTGTTATTTTTCTTGATATATTGTTTCCCTAAAACGCTTAGATAGTTGCCGGTATTGTCCACATCTTCATATCCGTACGGAATCAATCTTCGTATTTTTTTTTATATATTTTTATATATTTATATTTTCTAAATTACTCTTAAGTTCCGAAGCGGTTTTACTGGGCTAAGAGGTGCCGAATTACCGTGGACCTGGTGGACATGAGAGTACGGGAGGACTTCTTTCAGGGTAGAAAAGTGTGTTTAGATTAGAACTATTTGTAATCGATTTGTAGGTCGCTTTCCGTGAAAAGCAGGTTTTCTTGCAGAATTTCAAGAGACTTTGCCTGTTCAATCCAGGCAGCAAGTTCCTTCTAGAGCAGTTGTGTGAGATGGAAAGATTGGGGATTGTAATCGAAGCTTAGAAATCAGAAAATGATGTGTTGGGGTGGAGGGCATGTCGGTTTTTATTTTCTTCATTTTTGGATTCTTAGCGGTGTTATTGGGGAACTTTTTTTGGCCTTTTCTGGAGATGATGTTTGTGTCAGAAATGAGGTTGTTGGCTGATTTAAGCTTGTTTCACTTTGGTGTCTTTTGAGTGTAACTTAGAGAGTAGGAGCTACATAGTGTTCTCATAATTGCACACTGTTATTAGTATGGTTGTTATTATTTTTATTATTGCTTTTATTATTATTATTATTATTATTATTATTGTTATTGTTATTTTTATTTTTATTACTGTTAATATCGCTATTACTGTTAGTGTTACTTATTTATTTTTGGAGAATTGAAAGTGCATGTTTGGAAGGTTATTGACATGTAAGAAGGGGTGTGGATGAAGCATCAGCTAATAGTCATGTATGTAGTAACAGCACTAAGAGAAGTGCAACAGTTTGACTGCTATCAAAATTGTGATTAGTTTGACCTGGCGGCGATTAATTAGTGTCAAAAAAATTTTACGACGTTTTAGAGTCAGAAGCAGTAACTTGTTCAAACTGAAGATTAACTTTAGTTAGTCTTCCAGTGAACTGTTTGTTAGAAATAGTTCCGTAAGTGTTTCTTAATTCTAAATTCCTACAGGAGATGGTTTAAAATACCAGTTTAATAGTACCTAAGATCCTGATGCTGAAGAATAGAAGCGAGGAGAAACGGTTCTTTCTTAGCTTAGTATGTTGCTCGAATAAACATTTCTAGGAATTGGTTAAGGAAAGTGTTGAAGAGTTGCCATTTTGTTTCTTACATCGAAGACTTTTTGAAACTAGCACTTGCAACCTAGTCGCGTAAATATATTACGGAGTGGGACTAATATGGACGCGAAATATTATTTTTCACTTTGCTGGAAGCCGTCTGTGTAAGGCTCATTTGAAATTTTCATTTGTACACATTTTTCTGTTTTAGGCACCTGTCATTTAGTTTGAAAGAGTCAGTTTAAACCTCTTGGATTTTACTCAAAAGGGGTTTTTTAATCAGAAATTACTGGGTGAAATTTACCTATATTTTTTGTCCTAAACATAATGCTTTTGTTGGCTTGGATCAAGTATATGATATTGTATATTTTTAATTGTATTTTGCTTAATTGGTAGAAGTCTATGCTACAGATAATTTATATGTTTGTTCTAGATTCTCCCAGAAGGAAATGATTTTTAGGGTTTCCGTTTTGAGATTATTTTGATGAAAAATTTTTAATTTAAATTACCTGTGCTTGGGTAATTTTGTCTTAACTTTCATCAGTAAATGTGCGACCGCGGCGTATCGCATTCTTTTATTTATTTATTTATTTCTTTGATATCGGAAAAATTTGCAGATGTCAAAGCAGGCAGCGGAGGAGTTTAAAGAAAATGGTAATCGTTATTTTCAGCAACACAAGTATGAGGACGCTATTGGTTTTTATAACAGGTATTTATATTAATTTGTTCCTCGTTTTGATTTCTTCTCTCTCTCCTTCTGTTATGGGGGCCTAAACAGTGGTTTTAAAGGCTTGACAAAAGAGCCTATATTGTTTAATGATTATTTTTTACATTGTTTTTTCCTTGTTGTTTCTCTCTCATCTGAGGGATGGCGGAAGAACAAATTAATTAAGATTGAACGTGTTTCAGAGCAATTATCAACAACCCAAATAGTCCTACTTACTTTACTAACCGTGCTCTGTGCTTCATGCAAATGATGCAGTGGGAAAAAGTTATGGATGATTGCAGGAAAGCTTTAGAACTGGACAGAAAAAATGTTAAGGTTGCTGGGAAAATTGTTATTATTTTTAAAACAGTTTTTATTTCTTTCTCTTCATTTTAAATGAGGCCATTCAAGATGTAGCTCCTTCAACTGAAATAAAAAAGTCAGTATGAGGTATACGGAAGAAATGTGTTAGGTTTGCCTGCTCGCAGCGATTGGTATCAGGAGCTTAATTTTACTTTTTCTAAAATTTAATCAAAAGGTCAGGAAGAGTGGCTGCTTTATTCAGTTTTCTGCAGGTCTGTTCTAAGAAGTTTTTCAAAAGAAGGAAAATTCACTTTTGCTCATTAGATTACTCTCGTTCCACTGTTTAAGCCTAAGAATGTTCGAATGCAGTAGATCCTAAGAGGTTGCAAAAAAGTATTTTTTTGCTCCATCAGGTGAGGCGCCGAACTAAGAATCGCAGATGGACTTTCGAAATACTTTTCACCTCATCAGTGTGGTGTTAGATGGCTTACTCTGCCGACTTCGCAATTCTCACGTTATAGTCCGGAATTTTTTTCAAAGCGATTCTAATGGAACCACAGTAGCAGCTTTATTTTGTGAAGTGGTTTGAAGGAGAGAATTAGCGTTTGCCTAACTAGGTCATTTGACGAAGCCAGTCTAGGCAGCGACAAGGAGTGCTGTGGGTATATTTCGGAAAATTTACGACTGTTTCTGGTGGTATGATGAGCTTCTACTTTTAAACTGTGGCACCTTGGGGTTTGTGATGAAACTGCAATATGTTTTCTCGCGTTTTGCATATTGCTTTCTTGGGTGCTTGTAGTTTATCAGCCTTGTTAGTTGGGATTGAATGCTTAAAAATTATCTTTGTTTGTTCTCCTCTAAAATTTTTCCCTATCGTTTTGTTTTTCACCGTGATACCAAGCTATCTTAAAATCCAGTGAAAGTGGTGAGGTAATTCAGATTTATAGAGACAGCTTTTATCAGGTAAAATACAGTTTTTTGGATATTTGGACATATGATATTTTTGGATAAAATTTTTCGAAAGGTTTTGTCGCACCGTTTGTTGAATTTGCGTCTCTTAGCTGTCTCAGTTTCTGGTAGATTTCGATGACTTGCTTCGTGGAAGATTTTGTAAGCCGTTCTCGTCAGATATTTTGAGTAGTCCTGAAGCGATATCACAGTTATTTTTTTGGGTTTATAAGGTTGCAGGCCAATTATCTGTTGGGTCGTGCCTGTCTGCAAATGGGGCAGTGTGAAGAAGCAGTTAAAGTACTCATGCGAGCGAATGATCTGGCAATTAATCAGAAAATTAACTTTGGTGATGCGATTACGGCGCAGCTTCGTGCTGCAAAAAGGGATCAGTTTCGTAAAGAAGAAGAAAGAAGGTTTCATGTTTACAGTTTAACTTATTTTTTGCAGAGTTTCTTGAAAAAGGGGGCAGGATTCGATATGGAACTAAAATTTATTTTCTGGTTTTGGATGGTTTTGACCATGTGGTGATTTCGCAATTTAGGGCAGCATGGCCTCAGGGAAAGAGTTGAAGAAGGATGCATGTCGAATTGGGACATTTTTAGCATTTTGAAGTATAAATTTTATTGCGGAATTCAAAGCTGTTTACTTGGCCCATTGGTGAAGAAAAGGTTATGCCAAAGTTTTTATCACATGCGGGGAAGGCATAAAGTTTTATCTCACAGGACAACAACAAATTTCATTACCAATTCCAAAATGTGACATTGCCATTGTTAATCCTTTCAAAAAATTGCTCTTTTGTGTTCAGCCTGCGTTGAGGAAACTCATGAAGGTAGCTTTTAAAAAACTTTCCTGCTATTTTACGGTATTTATTGCCCATCTATTAGATTCCTGCGATAGTCCAATACATCGCTCCTGCCCTTTTGCACAAATGTTTATGAACCTATAGTTATCGCCGATCGTTTGATGGTTGGTCTTTGTAATGTAATATTCTGAGTTTTAGTTGCTAAAAAATAGTCTCTCATTAGAGACTTCTGTATTTAATCCTTTTTGTGACGGTTTCTAATTCCCTCTTTTTTTGTGGGTAACTTGTCACGAATTGACCTCTGCAAAGATAGTTTTTCAGCAGCTGAACATGTCGTGGCCTCGTGTTCCGGATTGTTAGAAAGAAATCAAATTGATTCACCCACAAAAGCGGGATTCATCAGTCAAACGGTCGGTCACAGAAATAGATTTGGAGATTCCTGACCAAATTTATGCCAAAGAATTGTTAAACTTTTTAAAGAATGGAATGCATGGAAGATTTGAATTGGAAGACAATTTCCGAAAGTAGCTTTATTGATATTCGACGAAGGCTGAATATGAGAAATTTTTTTTAAAGATTGACAAGGTGGCTTGCATTTTGGAGTGGACAGAATGTGATTGCGGAGTTTGTTGTAATTTCAAGCGTTGAAGGTGATCCTTCCGCCTCTTTTGTTAGAAGGAATTTTAATTACTCAATGATTTTGGGGAGTTTTGTTAGATTTTTATCACGCGAAAGTTCTGCCTTATCCGCACCTCAGTCGTGCTAGCTTCTGTGGGAGAAATGCTGAGGGTGTTATTTTTGAAGGTACTCTAAACAGTTAACAGATACACTATATATTTTAAGCGCTGAATATATTACTAGATAAAGCTGGTTTTGTTGAATTTTGCAAAAAAAGATTTTAATTTTTTTAACGAGGTTTAGAGAAATCTGACATTGTATACAGTGTTACATAAATATTTGCTACTTATCTCTTTTGGTGACAAAAACGAATTTATCTTTGTTTCACGGGAAGATTCAGATGGTTTGTAGGATTAGTCAGGAGATTGAATTGCAAACATATCTAAACAGTTTAATGGATCAAGATTTGGAGAGGCGGCTGTCCGCACTGCGAGAAAAGTGGTCAGAAGTCAGGACGGAAGGTTCGGAAGATGGACAAATGAAAGATGGCGAGACTTTACAAAATGAGGAGGAGTCAGTTACCGCAGAAATACAGACCAAAAAGGACATGTTGGGAAGTCTTTTCGCGCAGGTATTTTTTCGTTATGACTGGGACAGCATTTTGATGCTTTTAAAATTAAACAGAAGTTGCTTCAGAAAATTTGGTGAAAATTAATTAGTTTTAATTCATTACACGGTGGTTTCTATTATGAGCAGTGCTTCTATATGGATAGGTTGATGATCGGCGCAAAAAGCGAGAAGTCCCTGATTATTTGTGTGGTAAAATCAGTTTCGAAATTTTGCGTGAACCGGTTATAACGCCTAGTGGTATCACTTACGACCGGGCAGATATAAAGGAACATTTGCAAAGGGTTGGTCATTTTGATCCCGTCACTGGAGTACCTCTGACTTACGAACAGCTGATTCCCAACTTTGCCATG